TTAGCGTTTTGTTGTACGGAACCCTTCGTACGCGAGTCCGACTCGCGCTTGGCCTGTTTTTATATTATTTGACGTCCGCGCCGTACCGTATCTTCCCGTCTTGAATGAATCTTAGGTAACACTATATGCACTTTCGCGTTTTTTTAACAAGCCAATAAACTTAGTCCCAATGTAAAGCCTCAATGAAACGGGGCTGTGTAATGGCATATTAGGGTAACGGATAGAATACAACCTATACTTCTGTTATATTATCTTGTTATACTATCTTCTGTTATACATATTTCTATCTACATCAACATCCATGACTTATCTACAAATGCGCGTATTCAACACAAAAAAAAATTACTTACCGGGATTCGAAGTCGAATTAAATAATGTATAGGAGATAAGAAAGTGTAATTAATATATAAATGTTATTTTTTACCTCTGAATGGGTTCTTAAATACTTATTTATTTATTGTAAAGTAATTGCACATAAAACAATGGATTAAAACAAAGATCAGGAAAAGACTACACAAGAATATGACTTAGTACAGAGAACCATAATAGATTTACTATAGTTAATGGAAATCATAAATTATCTTACTTTGTAAGGATTTAAGTTTACTTTTGTTAAGGCATTTCCAATGTATCTAATAATGATATATTATAATAATAAAAGTCCAAGTCCTTGATTTATTGTATCTTATCCTTAATCATCACAAAACTTATTCGCCTCTTGATGGAGATGGTGCCTAAATAAACAGTTCTTACATCATCAACACAAACGTTCATTGAAGTCTTTGGCACTTCAAATCGTCTGGACATTGAATGCTTCTGCCAATATGCCCATCTACCTGACAATTCCGAGACATTTCTCATCTATTCCATTTAATTAAGCCCCTAATCGACCCAATTCCCAAATTGATTCCGCCCTAAAGAATACGAAACTGTGTACATAAAACAAACCATAGTAACATGGCCCTTGTTTCCTGAGACAGAAGGGTGATGGAAACACTCTTTGTATAGCCAAGCGAAGATGTTTTCTTTGCTAATAGAATGACAAACATCGACCAATGTAGAGGGATTGCTTGTCATCTGTCAGAATCCCTTTTCGGACTATTTCCAAATGGGCGAATGCCGTAACGATATTGTAGTAACTGATAAATAATATTATTTTACTAAATTTATTTGATTAACTTCCAATTTTGTCACTAAGAGGTACGCCCAAAACGCTGCAAGCAAATACTGATGACAGATTTAGTGTAGGTGATTTATAAAAAGATTCTTAAAGGCTACATCAGTTTTGGACGCTTAAAGTTTGATGCCGACACTGAAATTTCTCTAAGAGTGACGGGTGTAATGAAGTTTATTGATACTAAAGACGACAAGGTCCGTTAGTTTTATTGAAGTTTGTTATTTTTAGATTGTTCATTATAATATCCGTAGTATATTAAACAGGCCGAGTGTCGGAAGTTGGCATATAATTGATTTAGTAAAACTTAATTTTCTAAATTTGCTCAATTGTGTTAATTCTTTTTATGTTAAAGGGGTGGCAAACAAGCGTTTGGCCCCAACCAAAAGATAGTTTTTTTATTGTGATCTTCTGTAAAGCGGAAGTTACTTTACCAGCTGGGCGCTCTATTTCTAAACTAGGCTTTCAGTATTAAAAGTTATTGCAATCATTCGTCGACTATAGCAATGATCATATTTCTTTTTGGGTTATTCTATGTAGTTGTGAAAATTCAATTCAAAATAAAATATCTACCTAGTTTATTAATCACAATTTCACTTCCACGTTTAGTACTTTGTTTTCGCAAAACGTATTATATTTGGTAATGTGATAATGAATTATTCGATCCCCAAACAGAAGTAACCTATAATTCATTCTCCCCTACTGAAAGCATATGATAGCCAGGATCAGTTTCCAAAAGGGGTTCCCCTATGTTTGTTCTTAAGTGCATTGAGGCAAGCTCTCTAATAAATCTTGAAATAACCTAATACTACTTACGATAAAAAAGTTGTATTCTAGCCAAGGTGGATTTTTCTGTATTGATATGCATTTGAAGAGGACAAATGGTATTAGGAAACTTTAGTAAAAAGCACTAAACACTTCACTTAAATTTTCTTTCGTTACTCACACTGCGAAAGGGTCACCATTAACTTTGATCAAAATTGAACATTAATTGACGTATGTAAGTGTGGTATTTAGATAATTTATGTCATAATTGTTTCAAATCTGTTACTTTTACTCCTTCAGTGATCCTTTACACTTTAAATATGGGATGAGTAAGCTGTATTATTACTCAGGCAACCAGTCAGAGTATTAAAGATGTTTCATTATGAAAGTATTGCGTTAAGCCTATGTTAAATTTGCAAAAATGGTAACTATGCACAATAAAAATCAGATCAAAATATACATTTCAAAATAATAGCTTTACGCTTTATTAATAGCCACACCTACACATTTGAAAGAGTTCGTAAACAATTTAGTCTTTAACAAAATCCCTACACAAATAATACGTCATCTACTTATTATTTTTATTTAAGTATCAAACAAGAAAAAATTCCGCTGCTAACCTAATTGTACAATCACCACCACATTATTTAAAAATAAAACTATTCTAAATCTATTTGAATTCGTGCTGAATGCAGTAAGATAAAAACAATGTTGCTCTTGTTTCAGTTTTGAGTTTTAACTTACTATACAAATTCCAGGATAATAGTAATTCATCTTGCCATTTCTATTTTAATACCAATTACAAATTCAAATCTGTAGAAATATTGGATATATTTTAAATACTTTTGCAACATTAAGGTTAAAATTGTAAAATAATATGTTGAGTAATCCATTGACTACAGTCGAGAGCGATGAATCCGGGTCACTTAAAGAATCCTAAAAATCTTGCAAACTAAGAACGCTAGCTTAATGAAATAAATTCTAATTAATAGCCAATTAAATACTTCTTAAAAGAAGATATAAAACTTCTTAGTTGTTGTTAAGATATATCATAAAAATAAAAAACAAATTTGAAAAAGAGATACTTTTGAACATGGAACTACGAAATTACTGCATTTGTTTTTGCTTTTATTTCTAATCTGTCATTTATCATTCATATAAACCATGTCGATAGTGTTCAATATTAATTATATTCAAGCTCTAATCATGTCGCTTACACCTGAAGAATATATCAGAATTCTCACAATGCTGGAAAAAGGCCGGAGTCAGCGCGATACAACCAGGACTGTCGGTGTGTCGCAGTACAAAGAGTTCTCCGATGTTACGACGAAACTGGCTCTAACCTACGCAGACCAGGAACATGCAAAACCAGGTGTACCACAGCACGATAATATCGATAATTGGTGAACACCATGCTTCGAAATCGCTTTCTCACAGGAACTGAAATTATAAATCAATATCGATGTCTCGGAGGAAGTAACCCAAGCGCATGGACAGTAAGACGGCGACTTGCTGAAGCCAGCTTGAAACCACTTAGAGCTGCAAACGGCCCTAAACTGCAACGTCGGCATCGTTATTAGCTATTTCAATACTAAGATAATAATGCCCAGAACCACAAATTGGACTATTCATGATTGGTTAAAAGTTATGTTTTCCGACGAATCAAAATTTATGCTCTAAAAGCACGATGGAAGAGTCAGAGTATATAGAAGACCTGGGGAAAGATTCAAGCAAGCATGCATCGAAGAAAAAGTAGCCTACGATGGTGGGTCTGTACTTGAGTGTCGCACAGAACTAATGTTCATAGAAGACGGCTCTTTAACTAGCGATGGATATGTGGAAGAAATGTTGAATGAACACGTTGGTCCATTTATGGTCAGTTTAGGTGAGGATACTACATATTTTTATGCATGACAATTCCCGACCTCATACAGGTTGGATTGTGAATGATTACTTTCAAGAGGTGAACATTACTTGTATGGAGTGGCCAGCACGCAGCCCGGATATCAACCCGTTTGAGCATGCTTGGGATGAGCTAGGGCGACGCGTAAAACAACAAAACCCTCCCCCAAGTACGCTTCGTGAGCTCAAAATTGCTCACACAGAGGAATGGGAGAATATCATACTGTTTTAAACTTTCATGTTCACTAACATTATAGTAATATAAATTATTTACGGGATTGTTACCATGTACCTTGTTTTTAGCGAGTTTCCGATATTTCGGCACTGTTGCACACAAGCGCCATGATCACGGAGTAACTAAAGTCATTGCGGGTAGGCTGTTATTGGCAGACATATCGGTCTACCCTCCGACGAAGTCTTTTATTGCGTTTGATACCCGTACCACTATTCACTCGAAACTGTTCTCGACATACAACACTTACAGTATCGGGTCGCGACACGACACTTTTTTGATTATTTCCCGTTTTACCTTCAGTTACTCCGTGATCATGGTGCTTGCAACAGTGCCGAAATATCGGAAACTCGCTAAAAACAAGGTACCTGGTAACAATCCCGTAAATAACTTATATTACTATAATGGGAGAATATTCCCCAAAATTGTATAAGAAACTTGGTGTACAGCATGCCAAATCAGGTGAACGCACTAATGGAAGCACGAGGAGGCAATACGAAGTATTAAAATTAAAGTAATGTTATTAAAAAATGACATGTTTCCTTTTTTTGTTTTAAAGCGAGTTTAGCCAGTTTTTTTCTGTATGTTTTTTTTTGTAAGTAAAATGTTGTAACTCATTTTACTTCCATTTAAGCAGTATTTAATTGTCTATTAAACACAATTTATTTCATTAAGATAGCATTTTTAGTTTGCGAGATTTTTAGTATTCTTTAAGAGACCCGGATTCATTGCTCTCGAGTGTAGTATCATGTGATAATTCTAGTATATAAATCAACAAAGCGTGGTTCTTTATCTGATGAATGTAAGAGCTAATTAAAGACAACAATTGTATTAGCTTGGACCAAATTTACTATTTTTATCTAAAAATAGACATTTCACATCTTTAACATTGTAAATCTAATCATATTTTATTAAAGTTTGTCAACGTCCCGCGTCACATGCGTTATCATTTTCAAACACTATTCTACGCTACTAAATTTCTCGTATCAGTCTTAATTAATCATGGTGACAGACTGTTCTTTGGGTATATTAAAATATTCGGCAACCAAATAATACCGGAATATATCTGGATCTGAGGTATGTTAAGCTCAATCTTTTGACCGGACTATCTTCAGTGGTTTGACGCAGTACAGTGCAGTGTTTATATGGCATTTTATCGGATTGTGTTTATTCTTAACATGAGTATTTTACTAACCTTGCTTATTGTTGTTTCACTTAATTCATACTTAAATTGTTTATACAATGAACCTTTACTTTTTAATTTACTAATATCAGTGATAGTAAGTAAAATGTGAAACAAATTTGAAAATGTTACATCAGGGGTGAAAGAAATGTAATTATCAGATTCTTACTCTGCTATGTATTTTTAAAGCTGAATACTGAAAATTGTTAGTTTGGGTAAATAAGATGGACTTTTTTATTGACTACACACTCCCCCAGATAGTTTCCACGCTATCGCAACGCAAACGCAACGGCTTCCTTAAACCTCCACCAAAGTCCCGTTTACTTCAGCCGAGCAAACTTTTGAGCGAAGTCTATTACTATTTCTACCGCTTTTCTTATTTGTGAATCCTGACAGAGAAATGTCCCGAGATCGAAAGACAATGATTAGACCTAAACAATACTTATTAAGCAATCTTTAAGCCTTACGAGTAGATCCATTCACGCTATTCAAATTAAGTTTAAGCAAAATTATTGTTTCACAGTAAATGGTTTGAATTATTATTGTGAAAAAATGTAATTTTCATTTACAGAAAAAAAATCACTGACTGTTACTTTCAACTTAAAGAAATTTTAGTCATCATGTAGTTTTTAAGTTTTTGTTATTTAAATGTAAATATCTGTATGTAACATTTTAATTAATAAACTTACAGAATGGTTCAAATATGAGTGAGCAAAATGAAACTGGCATGGCTTTCTTAAAATCTTCTAACTCATCGGAGTCCAGTGCACAAAGTGATTCGACTATTGTAACCCCAGGAGTGTACTATCCTCGGCAAAGTAAGATGATAATTTGTTATAATTTATTTGTGTTGTTTGATACAAATTCTGAAATAAATGTATAAATCAAGCTCATTTAAATTAAAATAATAAGCGGGTATGTATTAACGTGCACGTGCTTGCAAAAGATATAGTTTAATCGTTGATCTTCTAAAATTCTAATCAACAATTTTTATAATAAAACATGATAAAAGTATATTATAAAAAAATACTTACCTCGTTCAGACAAAGTATGAAACAATATTAACCATAATTTAAAATGTTTTCAGAGATCATCAATCAAATCCGCCGTGACACAGCCAGACACAAAAGTGCTCGGGCTGTATTGAGAAATGGAGAAATCAATACGGAAAAGTTTCCAAATCAAAAGCTCAGTTTCTTCTCCAGGTGGTTTGTGTCGATGGTCGAAGCTAGGTGGAGATGGACTCTGTTGAGCTTTTTCTTGGCTTTCACTGGTAATTGGCTATTTTTTGGTTTTACCTACTGGTGTATATCACTCTCGCACGGAGATTTAATTGAAGAGCATCTCCCTCACAATCAAAATACGTCTGACTGGACTCCTTGTATTGAATATATTTACGACTTTACATCAACTTTTTTATTCAGTATTGAAGTTCACACAACAGTAGCATATGGTAAAAGATCAATCACATTACAGTGCCCCGATGCAATATTTGCTATGTGCCTGCAATGCATATTGAGTTCTATTTTTCAAGCCTTCATGATTGGAATCCTATTTGCTAAGCTAACTAGACCTAAAGCCAGAACTCAAACTATACTATTTAGTAAACATGCTATAATAAGTTTAAGAGATGAAAAGTTATGCATGGTATTCAGAGTTGGTGATATTAGAAAATCAAGAATATTAAACATCAAAGCCAACATGTATGTTATAAGATTGCAAACAGAATTGAATTATTTAGATAACAATGATCAAATTGCTCTCGACGCAGATATGGATAGCTGTGAGTCTAGTTTCTTTTTATGGCCTATTTCTGTCATCCATACAATAGATCGATCAAGTCCTTTGTACAAGATATCAGCAGCAGATCTTCTTTGTGGAAAAATAGAAATTTTAGTTGTGTTTGAAGGTATAATAGAATCAACTGGTCAACCGATTCAGGCTAGATCAAGTTATTGTGAAAGTGACATTCTTTGGGGGCATAGATACGTGCCAATGGTTAACTATGATCCAAAAAAGGAAACGTATGATGTAGATTTTTCAAAATTAGGTGAAACGGAGCAATTTGATACCCCTTTGTGTTCAGCATATGAATACGACCACTTTTTATCAAATGAACTTCAAGACCAAAATTTCAAAATAACGTAAAGATGATTGAGTATTCTTAAATAGGTAGCAATGCTATTGTTGTAGATATTATAATCTTCATGGTGACAAAAAAAATACAAACAAGTCTTTCCAAGTGAAGCATATTTTGCTATTGTGTCTCAAGGTTTGACACGCTACATGTGACGTTGAAGTGTATAAATGTGACTGATTTTATACGAATTTATATTTTTGTATTTCACAGTGATAGCCTTAGATGAATTGCCATCGCGTAAGATAAACGAGGATCATGTATGACTTATGATACATTTTATATGCCTTGGAAAAGTATAAGCTAGTCGGTACCTACGATAATAGATATATGTATAAATAAGTATGTTCCAAAGATTTATAAGAACCTACTTACATAAGATATTTATAATTTGATGCCTGCCAAATAAATTAAGATAAATAATGAACTGCTATCCAAATGTTTTATTTATTAAAGTGAAGCTTTTATTATATCGCTACCAATTTTTCCGGCCATATTTATCATGCCGCAATTATATTTTTAATTGTTACTAGTTGCCCGCCTTCGCTTCGCTTCGGTGAAGAGCTATAGTGTAGACTAAAATGATTTCTTTTATATAATTATAAACCTTCCGTGAAAATTATTAATAGTTCAACATTGTCAAGAGCGCGAATCGTCTTTACTATGTACACCAATTTTATTATTTTGTCCACACGTTTTTAATTATTTTTATATGTTAAAGTATAAAGATTTCTGTTTATTAATTGTCGAAACCTGTAATTGGCCTTCTGTAACTAATTTTTTTCTTCAACTATGTCTGTTTTTATGAGCTGTTGGTCTCCAAAAAATTAAATAAATAAGTAAATTAGATAAACTTACTAATATCACAATGTCCTTTTGTGAGCTTTCGTAGCGTGCGCTGGGTAAATAGTTAAAGTTAGACAAAAATCATTTATTACGGAATTGTTCTTGTTATAAAGTTTTACAAAAAATCCAGAGAAGCATAAATGTCCATCTTTCAACTTTGATTCACTTAACCTTTTTCCTCAAATCGCACAGGACATCTAGTTGTCACATCTCTGTAATAGTTAGTCAAATAATATCGTGGATTTTTTATCTAGATATTGATGTTTTCTATAAAAAATACTATAACACTTTGCTCTATTTTCAATGACTTCCGTAGGGTACGCATGCAATACAAGAATACTTTATAGTCTATGTTCATCAGGGAATGCAAAATTCTTAATACGAAAGAATTTTTCAAATCTGTCAAGTAGTTTCGAAGCCTTTTCAATACAAACAAACATACAAACAAACATACAAACAAACAATCAAAGCTTTCCTCTTTATAATTTAGTTTAGATTAAAAATTCTGGACAAGCATCTGGGGGCCAAACTCCTAAAAGGATTGCTATGACTATCGCTATCGCTTACGATTTCGATATAGACTTCTTATTATTTCTGACCGCCGAAAGTTTTCAAATGCCTCCCGCTTGTTTTTTTTCTTTTGCATTGGTAATAAAAATATTTAAGAAAATGAGCGTGAGCTATTTGAAAACTTTCGGTGGTCAGAAATAATAAAATGAAATCATAAGCGATAACGATAGCCATAGCAACCCATGGGTCATTTTCTGTTTTCCACTTTTTTTAAGCAGAGAAGAATTGATGTATTACTCTTTAAAAGTTTCACTAATATCAAGATTTCATTGACCAATTCAAAGATAAAATACAACTAAATTCAAAAGATTTTCTCACATAAATTCCTGTAACACTTAGAGAGTACATGAGTTGGGTTTGTACATTTGCCCGTTTGATTTAGAAAGGCGTTTCATTATTTATTGTCAGAATATAGCCAAGTTTCTATTTAAAAGCTTCGCACACACAATAAAATTTATGTGTGTTCAATGATTCGAAAACCTATAAATACTCACGTTCATTATTAACGGACTATTTAATAACAGACTTTAAACTTTCTAAGCTTCGTTATGACAGAACCTAACGAGATTTGACATAAAAGACCTACTCTCCCACTCAAAATAATTAGGTGCCTATTTCAAGTTTAGAATGCACTCTACAACTAATTAATTGTTGAACGGTCTTTGAATGTCATCATCGTCTTAAGCCGATGAACGTCCACTGCTGGACGTAGGTCTCCTCCTCAAGGGATTTGAATTACCATACACAACTAGGGTTATAGTAATGTATGTTATTAACGGGATCGTTACCATGTACCTTGTTTTTAGTGAGTTTCCAATATTTCGGTACTGTTGCAAGCGCCATGATCACGGAGTAACTGAAGTAATTGCGGGTAGGCTGTTATTGGCAGACATATCGGTCTACCCTCCAACGAAGTATTTTATTGCGTTCGATCGATTTCCGATTCGATTCGACTGTAAGTGTTGTGTGTCGGGAACAGTTCGATTCACTCGAAACTGTTCCCGACACACAACACTTACAGTATCGGATCGCGACACGACACTTTTTTGATTTTTCCGGTTTTTACACATGCGAACCACAGGATTCCAAACACTCGACAATTTAAACCCGTCCTCACGATTGAAATTTTTATGTTTTGTTATTTCAATCGCTTCCCTGACCAATCTTGGTACGTAGTGGCATTCTCTCGAGATAATCTGTGGGTTATGGAACTCAATCCAGTGGTTAGGACCCGAATCAATCAAATGTTCCGCGATGGCTGATTTCTGCGTATCGTTGTTCTTGATTGCTTTAATGTGTTCCCTCATTAGACATCTACTGTTCGCTTTGTTTGGCCAATATACGAACTGCCACAGCTGCAATCGATCTTATAGATACCAGGTTTCTCCAAGGGGAAGATGTCTTTAGGAGACCGTAGGTATTGTGTAACCTTTCGTAAAGAAGTGAAAACAGTGTTTAGTGAGTATTTATTCATCATTTTTGAGATCTTGTCAGTCAGTCCTTTCAGTCAGTCAGATATATGGCAAATAAACGGGTTGTCTGTCTACTCTGTGTCTCTGGTGTCTTAATTTTTGTCCATTACTATTCGTATCTATATATAGTATCCATTACTCTGTAAGACTAGTCGTAATGCTCTAACTCTTCTTGAAGCTGTTCCTCATCACACAGGACATATGCACGATTAGTCGCTACAGAGTTAAGATGTTTAGGGTGGTGATGCGAGGAGGCGTTGTGGTAGCGGTCAGTGTGTGTAGGTTTGCGATAAATAGAATGACTAAGTGAACCGTCATTCTTCACCTGAATCTTCACATCCAGAAAGGCCAGATTTCTGTCTTCTTCCATCTCATAGGTGAAGTTGATTTTGGAATGAATACTATTTGAATTTGCCAGGTGAGACTCGACATCATCTTTGTTTCCTCTTACTATACAGAATACGTCATCGACATACCTCTTCCATAATTTTATTCGGTAACAAGGTACATGGGAACAATCCCGTTAATAACATATATTACTATAATGTTAGTGCCCATGAAAGTTTAAAACAATACAACTAGGGTTACCATCCGTGCGGATTTGTCTGGACATGTCCGGACTTTTTGCCTTTTGTCCGGATTTTTAATTTGTCCGGGTTTTTTTAGCTGGAATATGAGTAAAACTACTTATTAAGTTATATCAAATATGTAAAATAATCTTTAATAAGTTCTTATTTATTTAAAACAAAATTTATATCATGTATAAAAATCAAAAACGAGACCCCCCTCGTGATGCGAGCGTCTGCTACCACGCGTATAATATCACTACTACTAACTAAGTAGGTGATGTATGCATTTTGTGACTAAAATGTCCGGACTTTTATCAAATGTCCAGCTTTTTGTCAGGACTTTTCAGTTTTTTAAATAATAAACCTATACACAACGTTCCTGCAACTTTGAAATTTAGGTGCGTTTTTATGAGATCATACGTACGTACACGACTTGATACTGATAAGGAATTATTTTTATTTTTAGGTTTATTTTGTGTTGTAGGTAACTTTATAATAAGAGAAAATATGAGAACTCGCTAAAATTACTGAAAAACGTCGTATAGATATATTTTGTTTGACTAATTTGTTTAAAAATATAAAATTACCCAAACAGTGTTTATTAAAATAAATACTAAACTGAACATACAATAAACTTACAAATTAAAAGTAAGGTACTATTACCTACTTAGTAGTAGTGACATTAGGTAATATAATATAAAACAAAATTAAGTATTTAATTTAATGATCAAAACGCAAGTTACAAAGGTATTTCTCACACAAGCCACGGACTTTCTGGTCTACGTGAAGACCGCTCCGTGCCGAACGAGTGAATCTCCAATATTGTACGTGACCAAAGCTCGCTTTGAAATTAAGTTTGATCATAATTTTAAAGAATGAAACATTAAATTTCCGCAGAGATATTTTAATAAAGAAATTATACCTAACACTAGGTTAACTTTTTTCGTCAGCGTTAACTTTTAAACCCTAGTTTTACATCTTTGGGTAGTGAATTTTAGCGCACGCCTAAATAATAAAAGCTACATTTGTGCCAAATTTCAGCACAATCCGTTCAGTGGTCTGAGCTATGCGTTGATGGATTAGTCAGTAAGTAACGGTTGCCTTTTATATGTACAGATAAAGAAAATAACTGTAACTTTCTTCTCAAGTTAAGAACCGAAATAAACAATTATGAAAATTGCTAATATACTAAATATTAAAAGCTTGGAATTAGCAGTTTTCTTATGAATGAATTTTCAAAATTATTTTATATTATATGATATTACTAAAAGTTTACGGTTCAAATTTCAAGATTCTAAGTTCACGGGAAGTAAGTAGGTTTTGATTCCCGTGCGAGAAATTTGCGGAAATTTGATTGCTTAGGCTTAGAAGTTTGATTTTTTCACAGTTCCAAGGGACAGTAGACCTGAGTATTAGATATGAATTTCAGTTTGATACCTCCACGCATTCCTGAGAAAAACGTTCTTGACAGATGGACGGACGGATAACAAAGTGATCCTATAGGGGTTCCATTTTTCCTTTTGAGGTAGGGAACCCCAAAACTAACTTATATGAAAAAAATATTTTTATTAATCCTTTTCAAAGAACTCTCCACCAGCCTCTTTACAAAGCGTCTGAACCTATTTTCAAAACATTTTGCCAGTCCTCCGCAGACACCTATTCCACGCCTTTCTCAAAAGCTGCTAGCGCTTCTCCTGGCGATAAAAACTGTATCCCTTTGAGCTGATTTTATATTTAAGGGAATAAAAGAAGTCACACGGAGCCAAATCAGGACTGTAAGGAGGGTGTCAAGACTCTGACTGGTGTGGAGTCCAGGAAGAAAACTTCTGGCAGGCATTTTGTGCTATACCCTTCGGTGCTGCTTTGGTCTCGAAGTGGAATTGAAATTAGGTTCCCCGTCAAAGTGAAGAAGCTAGCGATCAAAATTTTCCGTGCGCTCCTCGACCGCTTCACTTCGTAGGCGTTGGTTCATTTT